ACCACGGCCATCATCCGGAGCGCTGTTCTCGGGGTCATTTCCATTTTCTGGATTGAACCTTGTCGATCATCTTGGTCGACAGAGGATCGAGTTTCGTAGGATTTATGCCCTTATTAGTGAATTCGTATTATTATAGACCTTTGGCAGGACTAATATGAGATGTATTGAAACAAATATTTACAGGTCACCATCACTTTATACTTGTTTGATTTGTTCTAACGCTGACTTCTATTGACCCGTTATGTAGGGATCGGGTTCGAACTTGAATTCACTTATTGACCCCGCAGCAATCCTTAGACGTGCACGTGTGTACCATAAACATGCTTCGTCGGGGCCCATGCGGGTTTTATAATTATTTTACCCTTTTAGTGTACCTATGTGTATACAATTTTTTCGTGGCACGTATAGGGGTACTTTAAAATATTTGTAGATGTCTTCTGTCTGCTTGTACAGAGATTGCAGATTCCGGTGGCATACCAGCTTCTGGATCAGTTGTTTACTACTTTGTACAGGTAGACTGTCGTGCACTATTTGTTGATTTCTGTAGGTGGATCATAGTGCATTAACTAATCTCCTGCTTTGGTCGTAGGAGCTTGTACTTGCCGTATTCTTCATGCATTTTGTTGTGGTATTTAATCTTTTCAATGCATCTGCTATTGCTTGCATGTAGGTAGGTAATGTCTTCTTTCACGGACTGAAATGGACTACAGGATACTGCATTTACTGTAGTCTTTATGCATCTACCCATGGACGGATATTGTACATATATTTGTATTCGTAGAGGATTTGTATGGATTGCAGATCTTCTATAGTGACTTATAGGAGTTCGTATTGTTGCTTGTGAGTGAACCGACATTTCACTTCTTATTTGGAATTTTAAGAATGACCTTCATCATTCATTACCTCTTTATTTTGCAGGGATACATGTCTTCTACGACGTCCTCTTGGAAGTATTTTGTAGAAGCTCCATTGTTTCTGCATCGAATCCACCCTTTCACCAATCTCGGGTGGTATTGATGTATTTGCACTTGTTTGTGGGGGCGAATCCGCCATTATTGGTCTCTCGTATTGCCATCTCAATCAACAGGCATTGGGATTGTCGTAGGAGTTCGTTGCATTCATCTTTCGTGTGCATCGAGATTTCATCTCCTACTTGTAACTTGTTGTTAGCTTGGACGACTGTGCACTTAGATCTTGATTTGTTCATTCATCCAAAGCCCAGTTCTATGTATTCCATTCAACCCAAGTTCAAGATTCAACTCATGCTTGAGTCTTGTGTGTTGTTCGGCTCCGGCTCACTTAGCTCGGCTTCTATTAACGACGCGAAAGAGGCGACAATCGAGGAGCTGCCGCGGATTTGCGGATCAGACGCGAACGGCGCCGCGTCTACAGTGTTCAGCGGGATTTCGGGCAGATTTCGGGGATTTTGGACGGCTTCTCGTCGGAATACGAGGATTCCAACCTGGATTTCAGCGAAAATTCTGGATCTGAAGGTCAAGGTATGATTTCATTTTTGTTTCTTTTGTGTATTGTCAGAGGTCAACAGAGTTGTATCTGTGATCATTGTACTCTCATAGTGAATCATGTATAGTAAGTTATTGTCTTTGGGATTGTTTGGTTGGCTGAAAGAAGAATGCAGTGTAAAAGGAATACTTTTGGATTTGTTTTGGATGAAGTAAAGTAAATACAGGTGAATGATTTTTTTGTTTAGTTAGAAATATAATGTAAATTCCTAAATATGGGCGGACGGCGACCGCCAGCTGGCAGAACGGGCAATGTCAGGCAAAGGTGGCAGCTGCTGGTAATCCAGCGGCGGCGGTGGGAGAGGGCGGTGTAGGATGGTGGGGTCAATAGCGTGCGGGGCCATTGGGCTCGATTACAACCACGACGCCCTAGGGTGGCGGTCAAGCAAGCTTGTGGTGTAAATGGTTTTTACTCAAAATCGGAGAAGTTTGGTTTACACTCAAAATGAACTGTTTGACTTTACATTACATTTACTATATTTTACTTTGCAATATTTTGTATTCCAACTAACAAAAACAACAACATCTCAAGCCTTTATCCCACTATATGGCGTCGGCTACATGAATTCTTTTTCTTTATTGTGCCCTGTTAAAAGTTGCATTCTCATTTAAATATAATAAAGAAAAGTCATTTCTAATATTTTATAACCAAGTCTTTTTAGGTCTACCTCTGCCTTTCTTAACATAATTCAAGTCTAATACATCTAATTTACTAATCGGTTCATCGGAAGGCCGCCGTTTTATGTGACCAAATCACCTAAGGCGACTCTCTCTAATCTTATCTTACAATGGAGCTACTCCAACATTTTCACCTATATGCTCATTTTGTATCATATCTCTAAGAGTAAAGCAACTCATCTACCTGAGCATCCTCATCTCTGCAACACTTAATATTATGCTTCTCTTTTAATGGCCAACATTCTGCACCATAAAGCATTGTAGGTCTAACCACCATCTCACAGAATTTTCCCTTAAGTTTGAGAGGTACTTTTTTATCACACAACAAGCCCAATGCATTCCTCCACTTCAACCATCCAACTTGAATTCTACTAATAATACCCCCCCACCATCTACTTCACCATCACTTTGAACAATAGACCCAAGATATCTAAAACATGTACTCTTATTAAGGAATTGATCACCCAAAGTCACAATCCCCCCAGAAGAACTATTCTTAATAAAATTACACTCCATAAATTCAATTTTAGATTACTCAAATGAAAGCCTTTAGACTCGAAGGTTGGCCTCCATAATTCAAGTTTACCTTCAATTCCCTCTCTAGGTTTATCAACAAGAAGAATATCATAAGCAAAAAACATACACTAGGTTACAACATATTGCAAATGTCTAGTGACAACATCCATGATTAAAGCAAAAAGATATGGGTTTAAGGCTGATCATTGATGTAATCCAACTGAAATAGAAAAATACTTGTCAAACCACCTTGTGTTTGAACACAATGACTCTTGCATACACATCCTTAATAACTTGAATTTAAGCAAAATTAACCACTTTCTTTTTTTTGAACTCTCCATTGCACTTCTCTTGGAACTTTTATCATATGATTTCTGTAAATCAATAAATATCATATGTAGATCCTCCATATTCTCTCTATACTCCTCCATCAAACCTCTCAATAAATGTATAGCTTCAATAGTAGACCTACCTGGCATGAATCTAAATTGATTTTGAGAAACATTAGTATCACGCCAAAATTATGCTCCATAACTCTCTCCCATAGTTTTAAAGTATGCCACATTAACTTAATTCCTCTATAATTTGCACAATCTTGTGCATCACCTTTATTCTTAAAAATAGGAATCAATACACTCATTCTTCACTCATCTAACATCTTTTTAGTTTTCAAAATAATATTAAAATGTTTAGTAAGCCAAGAAATTCCTTCATTTCCTAAACATTTCCACACCTTTATTGTAATATGATCAGGTCCAACAGCTTTTCCACACTTCGATTTTTTAAAACCTCTCTAACTTCGATTTTACTAATACGCCGATAAAAATAAAAATCTTTATTTCATTTAGAATGCTAAGGTCATTAAAGTCAATGGCATTCTCATAATCTTCATTGAAAAGTTTAAAAAATATCTCATCCACCTTTGTTAAATATCCTCTTCTAATAAAAGCACTTTTTGATCTTCATCCTTAATGCGCTTCACTTGAACTAAATCCTTACTACTATTTCTATGTCTGGCTAACTTATACATATATATTTCGCCCTCCTTAGTATCTAATATATTACATAAATCATTAAGAACTAAAATCATTAGATCGCATATTGCTTTCTTAGACTCCTTATGAGCCTCTTTATATCTTTCCCAATTATCAGAATTTTTATAACTAAACACTTTTTTATAACAAATCTTCTTATTTTTTATCTTTTCCTACACATTTTGTTTTTACCACCAACTATTTTTACTCTTAGAAGCTTTTCCCTTTGATACTCCAAGCATTTCTTTTGCAATATTTTAATATCACTAACTAATTTTTCGCACATAACATTAGGTTTCTCATGCACAGACAAAAACTTAAGATCTAATATGTTACTCTCAAAAATATTTTTGTTAATATTCTTTAAATGTCACAATCTAATCCTAGAACAATGTTTTATTTTATTTTTTATTTTCTGTCCTTTCATCTTAAAGTTCAAAACTAATAAGTGATGTTAGATACATAAACTTTCACTTGAAATAACTTTACAATCTTTGTAATCTAAACGATCTATTTTTTTTAGAAGAAAATAATCAATCTGAGTTTACTATGCTCATTCTTATAAGTGATGAGATATTCATTTCTTTTCTTAAATAAGGTATTAGTAATTACAAAATTATAAGCTAAAGAAAAATCTAATATGATCTTATCACCTTATAAAACTCTTGCATTTGAAATACTTTACACCCAAAGTAATCCAACCAAATAGTCCCTTAGTTCCATTATGAAAGTTGAACTCTATGTGCAAGCCAGATTGTAATAAACTCATAACCAAGCATTTTGAGATATTTTATTCTTTGGTTATTAATTCAGCATTTTTGTTTTGGTTCTGTTAAAGTTATTCCTGCCAATGGACTTATTTGTTATCTATGCAAATTTGGTTAGGTCCATCGGGGTGTGGCAAAACCGCTAAAACCCTTGGGGGGTGGAGGGGCAGTAGAAAATGAAAAACTTTTGAAAATCTGAAACTGCTTTATTGAATAGTCTACAGAGATGTTTATGATTCAACAATGATGACTAGTGAGATTAAATTGTCACCTGTTAAGATGGAATTCTTCTCTAGAGAGCTCCTCTTTAATAATTGAAATAAAATCAAATGCTGCTACCATTAGATTATCTGATAAGTACCCTCCAACCCTTGCTATCTCCATCAAGAAGTGCACATCTAGAAGCAACTGAATGCAAAGGAAAAGTAACAACAATTCTGGTTGGATTGACAGTCAAATGCATAATGCAGACATTGAACAAGGTAAATGCCGAATAGGCTGAAAAAGTGTTGCCTGACATGCCTTAAACTGAAAAAACAAAACAAAAAAACAAAGCTGGAACACACAAATTCACATCAGACCATTGTATATTAAGAGATCGTGGCAGAAAATCTCTACTTTTTATCAGTATAAGATTACATGATAATGCTTATTAGATGAATGCTCCAAAAGGGCAACAATTAGCATGACAAAAAAAAATTACGCACTTGACAATTGGGAGGAGGTGTACATATTCTAGTTGGATGAGAAATATAAAAGAAGGATTAACTAATAAACTAATAGGGTGTACAGAAAGTTCGTGCCAGTTAAAGAGAGATTGTTATACCTGTTTATGGTTCTTTGTAGCTTGCAAGAACTCCCAGTTTTCTGAAAGCCTAAAGATCAAGGTCATCATAATCCCATTTAACAAGCTATTAATCATCCCATCCTCAACAAGCAATATAGATTCAAACTGTTCTTCTAAATGCCTCAGCCGTACAAACAGTTCCTAAACATCTTTTGACGTTATATAAGAAGGAACGAGGATAATAAAAAATAAAGAAATGGTTACGCGTGCAATAAAAGTTAGAAACAAGATAAAATTCCCTTAAAAGGTTAACAATGATATAATCTAAATACTAGAAAAGCAACAGTATAGGGAAAAAAAGCATGGGTTGGTTCCCTCCAGAAGTGGATGGAGCTTCTTTGCAACCAATATAACCGAATAACTAAGGTTGGACTTCAATACCGTGAAACAAAGCACTCCACTGATCTTAACAACCTCACAAAGCATAGGTATATTTGTAGGTTTTCTCCATGCAGAGCAGCACTTATCCATTTGCTGACCTAGATTTTTAAGAATGTCCAGAAAGGTAACCAAATCCCAGTAAGTCTCACAGCCACTTCCACTGATGATAGAATTAATACTTTATATTTAACTAAATTCATATCCATAATAAGTTATTATAAGCTAAAAAACATTTAATCCTCAAAAGATATAAAAGACAAAAAAAAAATGCTCTTTTGATCGACTATCTTACATAAGAGTATCCAGTTTTGCTTAATCATTCGATTCATTCCATTTCTCAGTTGCACTGCTAATGTAAAGGAACATTTTCTACAAAAACCAAAAGCTTAGTTGAGCGCAATAGGAGCATGACACGGATATTTATAAGCTTGAGAATTAGCATTAAATTTTTTAATAATCCAAAATCACATATAACGAAAAGGAAATGCAAAAAAAAAACAACTGTTTAAAGGAAAACTAAACAATGAGGCATTAAATTTTTTAAGAAAGTACCGTACCTGAAAAACAAAAGAAGGCATTGGATCTTTTAAGGAGCCTGGTAAGCAGTAACCACAACTGCAGGCATCCAGATTTTTCATGGATTCAGAATTTTCATAGCTCATGATGCCAGACACAAATTGCTGGCAGAAACAACTCTTTAATCGGTTTGAGACTTCTTGAATTGCCTGCTTCCAGAAATCCAATTCTTTCTGTAAAGAAAGCTTATCTTGTCCTGGTAACACCGCATCTCTTGAAAATATTGTAGCATTAAATGAATTTTGTACAATAGTGGGCAACAAATGCACCAGTACAAAGGAATTGACTAAAATGGAGATTTGTTGATGAAGTTTCTGATTTGAAATATTCAAAGGAAAATCACATTCTTCTATATATCCTCTTATTGCCATAGCTTTTTCAAGGTTAAGTGTGTATTCATCAACCAGGTCACTTAGTCCTTTGAGTATTAAGTTTTCCAAATGGAAAGCACGAAATGGGAAAGCATCATCAAGAACCATCTGAAAAAAAATGACAAAGCTTAAGTACAACAACATTAAACATTTATCCCACTACGTGGGCTTAGCTATATGAGTCATTTTCTCCATTGTGCTATGTTAGAAGTTCAATTCTCATTTAAATCTAATAAAAAAGAAGTCATTTTTATACTTTCTAACCAAGTTTGATTAGGTCCATCTCTACCTTTTTTAACATATATACATCTACTCTCCTAATAGGGTAATAGGGTCATTGAAATGCCAACATTTTATGTGACCAAACAATCTAAAGCTACATATATATTTATTTTGCATTTTTTCTTTAACTGTAACGCCACTCATTCACTTGAGCATCCTCATCTCTGCAATAGCAAACTTAATTTTATGTTTTTCTTTTAATGGCAAACATTCATCACCATAAAGTATTACAAGTCTCACCACCAACTAATCAAATTCTTTTAAATTTGAGGGACACTTTTCTATCACACAACAGGCCGAATGCATTCATCCACTTCAACCATCCAACTTGAAGTCTTCTAATAATATCTCTATCTATTTCACCATCACTTGAAACGATAGACCCGAGCTATCTAAAACGAACACCCTTTTTAATGACTTGATCACCCAATGTCACAATCTGATGCGAGCAAAAGATATAGGGGGCCTATACCCTTTGCCCACAAAAAAGACGACGGACTTCTAACGACAAAATTGAGGAGGAGAAAGGAGACGAGAACAATAGGGAAGAACAAACTCTTACATT